GGGGTGGGGAGATCCCATGTTCCAGTCCCCCCTGCTACTCCCAGCCCTAGGGCTGGATGGGTGCTGGCACCCTCTAGAGAGGAAAAGCCCCATGTCTCATTCTTTGCCTTCCCAAGGAAGGGAGCTGTATCAGAGGCAGTGCCCCCCAAAGATGAAAGGGCCCCATGTCCCATTCTCCACCCAGCTGAGCCTGCTGGACCCCCTCCTCCTGCTTGGGGCTGGATTGGAGCTGGCACCTCCTAGAGGTGAAAAACCCTGCACATTCCCCACCCCTCTGAGCCAACCAATTCCCCTGCCCTGGAATCAGATTGGAGTCAGTGCCCCCTGGATGGGAAAGGTCCTGCATTTCGTTCCCCATCCCTGAGTCTGCCAGTCCCTCTTCCCTGTCCTGGGGCTGGGTCGGAGCTAGTGCCCCAGGGAGGTAAAAGAGCCTGTATCTGTTAGGTTTGTGCTGTAGGCTTGGTACTGCTGATCCCCATAATGTAGCCAGCTGTTTTGCCTTCTCTCTTGTCCAGGCTGAAGGGGGCTATGAGCCGGGGTGACTGGTACAAAACCAAGGAGATCCTGCTGAAGGGGATCGACTGGATCTTGAACGAGATCAAGACCTCGGGCCTGCGAGGTCGGGGCGGGGCTGGCTTCCCCACAGGCCTCAAATGGAGCTTCATGAACAAGCCTTCAGATGGCAGGTGGGTGGGGCAGGGCTGCCACTGTTGGGCCCTCTACAGCATGGGGTGGACAATGGCTCAGGGCGGTACAGCTCCGTCTCCTAGTCTGAAACATCCCTGTGGGGCAGGGCTTGGGGGGTGGGCAGTGCTGGGGCCTGCATAGAACCCAGACATCCTGGCTGCAAGCCCCCAGCACTAACAAGCGTTCCCAGAATACCTCCACCCCGGGGGCAGTCCCATTGCAGGGCATGGGGCTGCTGAGCTGCAGCGTGTCTGGACCCCATTGGCTCCCTGGGGTGGGGACAGCTGGCAGTGCTGGCCAAATGAGCTTTCCCTGCTGGCAGCAAGGTAGTGGAGCTGGGTCTGCTGTGGGATGGTAGCTCACGCGGGGAGGGCTGCTGCGGTCGGTCCGATGGGGTCTGTGTTCCAGGCCCAAGTACCTGGTGGTGAACGCGGATGAAGGGGAGCCAGGCACCTGTAAGGACCGTGAGATCATGCGCCATGACCCACACAAGCTGGTGGAGGGCTGCCTGGTGGCAGGGCGCTCCATGGGGGCCCGGGCTGCCTACATCTACATCCGTGGGGAGTTCTACAATGAAGCCTCTAACCTGCAGGTAAGCAGGAGCTATAGGGGGAGCAGGTGCACTGACCCACAGAGCCTGGGGGTGGGGGCAGCAGCTGCCATTTCGACCCATTTCCCCATGTGGCACAGAGGGCAGGGCTGGGGTTGTGATGGCAGGAGCAGCTGCTCTGACCAGTCTCTGCAGGGCACAGAGGGCAAGGCAGGCCGGGGAGCCAGGCCAGGTGGGTGTGGAGCAGCAGGGCCGGGGGAGCAGCTGTGCTGACCTGTCTCCCTGCAGGTGGCGATTCGCGAGGCCTATGAGGCAGGTCTGCTGGGCAAAGACGCCTGCAGCTCAGGCTACGCCTTCGACGTGTTTGTGGTGAGGGGCGCCGGGGCCTACATCTGTGGGGAGGAGACAGCGCTGATCGAATCCATTGAGGGCAAGCAGGGCAAGCCACGCCTCAAACCGCCCTTCCCGGCTGACATTGGTACGACCCACCGGGGAACTGTGCTGTTGTGGGGGAGATGGGGGGTGCCTTAGTGGGGGTTCGCTTGCCCTCTTTAGGGGACTGAGGGATTGTGGGGTGTTCTAGCTGGGTCCCCCTGCCCAGCTGCTTGTGGGGCAGGGGGGTCACACTGTTTTGGGGGGCACCGGGATCCCCAGCCTGCTCTGTGTCCACGTCACTGCCCTCTCCTTCCCAGGCGTGTTCGGCTGCCCCACTACCGTGGCCAATGTGGAGACGGTGGCTGTGGCGCCCACCATCTGCCGGCGCGGGGGAGCCTGGTTTGCCAGCTTTGGGCGTGAACGCAACTCGGGCACCAAGCTCTTCAACATCTCTGGGCACGTGAACACGCCCTGCACCGTGGAGGAGGAGATGTCGGTGCCGCTCAAGGAGCTGATTGAGAAGCATGCGGGTGAGATGCCAAACCCTGGCCCTCCCCTGACTGCTGGGTGAGCGACAGGGCTGGACTCCCCCCTCCTCCCCCACTTCCCGTCTTAGGCCACTTCGTCTCCGGGCTGCCCCACAGGTCTAGCTCCAGCCGTTGCGGCTGTGGGTGGCTCACCCTACAAAAGTAAGGCTGGGGGGGGGAAAGGTGCTAGCCTGCTAACCCTGCTTGTGGCCTGTGCAGAGGGGCTGATCCGTCGCTTCCACCCAGAGCCTGGAGTAGCAGGTCGCACTAGGAGGAGGCTTTGGGGGAAGGGGACAGCACCAGGCATCATGGATCTGGTTTGCCGTGGGGAGGGGGAGTGCCTAGGCCTAACCCTGCCCCCTCTGTGCACAGGAGGTGTGCGCGGGGGCTGGGACAACCTCTTGGCGGTGATCCCAGGAGGCTCCTCCACCCCCCTCATCCCCAAGTCGGTGTGCGAGACAGTGCCCATGGACTTCGACGGGCTGGTACAGGCGCAGACTGGGCTCGGCACAGCTGCCGTCATCGTCATGGACAAATCGGTAAGGCCCCCGCCCCCTGTGGCCCGCCCCCCCCCCCCCCCCCCCCCCCCCCCCCCCGCCAGCCGGCCTGGTTCCTGCAGCAGGGCACTCACCCTCTCCTCCTCCCCCAGACAGACCTTGTCCGAGCCATCGCCCGCCTCATCGAGTTCTACAAGCACGAAAGCTGTGGGCAGTGCACCCCCTGCAGGGAGGGTGAGTGCTGGGAGCTGGGCTGCTGATGATCTGGGTATGGCTGGGGGAGATATGCCAGACTGCCCCTTGGTGGGATCGGAAGTGGGGGATGAGGATGCTGGGAGGGCTGGGGTCACTGGGGGTGGTGGGGAGGATGCTGGGTGGGCTGGCTGGGGTCACTGGGGGTAGGGTGGGGGAGGGAGGATATTGGACTAGCTGGGACCATGGGTGGAATTGGGGGTGAGGATGCTGGTCTGGCTGGATCCATGGTGTGGGGGGATGATGCCCAGCTGTCAGGGCCTGTGGATGGGATCGGGGGAGGGCAGCTCTGTGGATGCAGCCTCTCCCCCCGGCGTGCGGGCTGTGATTGGCTGTGGTGCTCACCCCCCAGGTGTGGATTGGATGAACAAGGTGATGTGGCGGTTCGTGCAAGGCAACGCGCAGGCAGCCGAGATCGACGCGCTCTGGGAGATCAGCAAGCAGATTGAGGGCCATACCATCTGCGCCCTGGGCGATGGGGCCGCCTGGCCTGTGCAGGTAGCCGGCGGCTGGACACCAGGGTGGGGGGTGGCCTGGCAGAGGGGAGGGGTGTGTGGGTAGATGGTGGGTGTGCTCATAACTTAGCCTGGCAGAAGGGCAGTTGGGGGGAAGAGGCTCCTGCAGATGGGGGGTACATCTGGGGAGCTGCTGTGTGTGTGGTATGGGGTGGGTGGCAGATGCAGGATGGGGGTGGGGCACTACCTTGCCAGCCCTGCGCACTCATTCCTTGTTTGCAGGGGCTGATCCGTCACTTCCGCCCAGAGCTGGAGCAGCGGATGCGGCGTCACGAGGAGACCCAAGCTCGGCAAGCGTCCGCGTGAGGGCTGGGTGCCCGGTGATGGAGGGGGCCGGATCCCGCCTCTCTGTGCGTGGTCAGCGCCCCTCCCCCATGACGACGTGCGGGAGGGGCTGAGCACTTGACATGTTGGCTGGGATCCGCATAGGGGCAGCTCTCAGTGCCTCTGGGTGTTGATGGGTTTTTCTGGCGTGTGCGGGGCGGGTGACTTACCTGTGTGTCTATTGGGGTTTCTCTTGCATGAGGGGGAGACCCCCCTGGCTATGCTGTCTCTTCACCCTCCCCTGCTGGGTGAGCTCCCCAATAAACGTGCTGTGGTGGCAGCCGGTATCTCCTTCCTGTGTGAACGCGCATCTGTGTAACGCCAGGGAGCAGTTGGGCGCCGAACCACAGGCTGCCGTCCCTCACACGGCCGCCCCCTCCCTGCCAGGAGAGCGGCGGGTTGGGTTCCCTTACAGCTGTGGCGGTCTGGCTGTTCTTGGGGGTGATCTGGTACCAGTTGAGCTCTGCTTGGGTCTCATTTGAAAGCCCAACCCGACACTTTCCCAAGCCTGAGCCAGTGCTGCTGCCACCTCCTTGTCCTGGGGGCTTCATGCCCCCAGGCCCCGTGCCTGCGATCTGTCTACGCTGCCTCCTGCTTGGGAGCTCGGTGTGGCAGCGGCCGTGTCCCGCTCCTCCCTGGGTGCGCGGCGGCGAGGTGCTGTGACTCGTCGGCACACTCACTCTGCAGCACACGCAGTGCGGCCGGCAGTGACTGGCAAGAGACGGGCAGGTGGCTGCTGCTTTGCCAACCCCAAGGGCAGCACGTGGTGGTCAGATCCAACCGGAGCCCACGGGGTTGGGCTGTTTTCTGACCTCACGTCACCCAAACCGGACCCTAGTGAACAGGTTGCAGTGTGGGGGGAGGGTGGGGTGTGTGGTTGGAGAGTGGCACTGTGTGTGTGGGGCGGGGGGGGAGGAGAGTGTGGGCAGGGCATCTACAGTGACTGGTGGGGGAGGTGAGGACTGGCCCCAGAGGGCCTGGCTGGGGTCCACATGTGGGTGGGAGGGGGCTGGGCTGGGGCACCAGGGGTTCCCCCACTCTCTGTTGTTGGCTCCAGCCCCCATTGCTGGCAGGGGTGGGGTGAAGGGGGGGCTGTTCGTGAGTTCCGGTTGGTCTCCTGCAGGGCAGGAGCTGAGGCCCAGCAGGGGGCAGCACCTGGCCCTGGGCCACTCCTCTACCCCCTCCCTGCCCCCCCCAGCACTGAGATGGCACGCTGAGCTCAGGGAGGTTTGTTTATGCGTAGGCCCCACATGAAATACAGCAGGCGCCACCATCATGGCTCACGCAGGTCTCGTCAGCATCCCCCCTCCCGACACCATGTAACTCCCCCCAGCGTTATCACAGGCTGGGGATTCCCTCCTGGGGTCACCCCCTCAGCTCTGTCCCACGCCTCTGGGAGGGGCACGCCCAGCCTGCCCCCCTTGTTCTTTCTGCCCTTGAGGTGGGGGAACACCTCGCCCAGCCTGCCCCCCTGGCTCTCTCTGCCTCCAGGGAGCCCTCACCCAGCCCAGCCAGCTGGCTCTGTCCATGCTGTGGGGCCAGGGCAGGCCATAGCGCAGGTGGGCTGAGGGCTCAGCGGGTGCTGGGTGGGCGTGTTCTCCGGCGGTAGGCGCTGGGCGCCAGCAGCTCCAGCGTGAGGTCCGTGATGATGGCCGTCAGCCCCCACACCCGGTAGCGGCCGTTGAGGAAGACGGGCAGCGTGTAGCTGTAGCGGCCCTGGTGGCAGAAGTTGGTGTAACCGTGGTTCTGTGCCTGCAGCAGGTGAGACAGGGGGATGGTGAAAACATCCTCAACCTGGCGGCAAAGAGAGACAGAAAGGGGCATGTTGGTGTTGCCCTGCCCGGCAGGGTCCCGTTACCCCTGCGCCTGGCCCTCAGCCCACTTGCTGGGCTGGGCTAGGAAAGCAGCACACCCGAGTGCCCTGCGCCCCCAGCACGCGGTACTTCCTACAGTAGAGTAGGGACCCAGGAGAGGAACAGCTGGGACCACGGCTGCTCCCTCCTTGACAAGCCTCCCTGGCCCCATGTCCACCTCCTCTCTCCCCAGTAGAGGAGTGTATTCTCGAGCACAGATACAGCTGCAGCAGGACAGCATCTTGCCGTCCTCCCCAGGAGCTGCAGTGTGCTAGCCTCCCCAGGGGACCCACTCTTCCTCCAGGGCAGGCCATGCGGCCTCACTACCTCTGAGAGGGAGCCACTGGGCTCCATCCCATGAGCTCTGCCCAGCGCATCCCACTGAGCCAGACCCCTGCTCAGAGACTTTTACACCCTTCAGGGACTAATACACCCCAACCAGTGTTTGCAGCGACACCAGGCAGCCTTTTCCACACAGAGCAGGGTTTATTAGTCACCTGGAACCAGTCTGGGGAGGTTCTTAGGGCAGCAGAGAGAAATAAAGGTTAAGACACTGTCCATCTGTCCAAACCAGTGCCATCAACCAGCCAAGCTGCATGGCCTCCATTTCAGGCTCTGTCTGTCCTGTCTCAGATGAGCACGCTGTGTCTCTCAAACGCCCTCTCCTATCCCTTCCCGGCCTCTCTCAGTCCTTGGTTCTTGAGCTGGCCTCGGCTCTGCGTCCCTGCCGCGGTGGGGGAACCTCCTTCCTCCTTATCTCTTGGTTGCTACGTGTGCACGTTCTCGTCCCTAGGGCTTCCTATTGTCTCTTTTGGCTTGGGCATTGATATGGCTCGGTTTCAACAGGTTCTAGCCAGTTCCTTGCACCCCACACAGCAAAACGCCACCCACACCTCATGTCTCCTGTGCTGCCCCAGAAGCAAACTTAACTCTTCTTCCATAGGTTCCAAGGCCAGAAAGGCCCGTTGCCATCATCTCATGTGACCTCCCGTCTAACCCAGGCCAGGGAACTGCCCCAAAACAATCCCTAGAGCAGAGCTTTTAGCAAAACGTCCAGTCTTGATTTAAACATTGCCAGAGATGGAGAATCCACCATGACGCTTGGTAAATTGTGCCAATGGTTAATTACGCTCACTGTTAAACATTGACACCTTATTTCCAGTCTGAATTTATCTAGCTTCAGCTGCCAGCCACTGGATCCTGTTAGACCTTCTCTGCTAGACTGAAGAGCCCATTAACTATTTGTTTCCCATGTACATAGTTATGGACTCCGATTGAGTCGCTCCTTAAAATCTTCTCTTTAAGATAGACTCAAGGTGCTTGATCTATTTATCACTATAGGGCAGGTAATCATTTAGATCTTCCCTGAACCTTCTCCAACTTATCCAAATCTTACTTGAAGCGTGGGCTCCAGAACTGGACCCAGCCGTGGTCACACCAGTGGCAACGAAAGGGGTAAAATAACCTCCCTTGTCCTACTCAAGATTAGGCAGGATCACGTTAGCTCTTTTGGCCACAGCATCACACTGGGAGCTCATGTTCAGCTAACTACCCACCCCGACTCCAAAATCTTTTTCAGAGTCACTGCTTCGGAGGATACAGTCCCCCATCGTGTAAACACACCCTACTTTTTTTGGCCCTAGATGTATGCATTTACCCACATATTGTTTGCTTGCGCCCAGTTTCCCAGATCGCTCAGTATCTGTGATCGTGTCCTCTCCGTTATTTACCACTCCCTGATTTTTGTGTCATCTTCAAACTTTATCAATGAGGATTCTGTTTTTTTCTTCCAGGTCATTGGCAAAAATGTTAAATAGCGTAGGGCCAAGGACCAATTCCCATGGGACCTACTGGAAACACACCTTCTCAGTGCAATTTCCCATTTAACATTTTCCACCACTGGGTAGTACTGCAAAGTATGTGGGCGGGGAACTGAGGCACACACAGCATTCATAAACATATTACAAAAATTTCCCCCAGTCACAGAAGATGAAGAGGCGACTTGCTCTGGTCTATAAGGATCTCCAAAGGACACAGGCAAAGTGAGGCCCCAGGGCTGGGGTCAGACTGAAAATGAGGCACAAATGGCTAATAGGGAGGGGAAATAATGCTTGGTACAAGGTGCCCAGGGCAGGGTGGATTCCCCATCATTCTTCAATGAACTCTCAGGCCATGTCTACACTAAGGGTGCTGCAGCTACGCTGCTGTAGCGGAGACACTTCCTACAAGGAGGGATTTTTCCATCGCTGCAGGAACTGCACCTCTCTGAGCAGCGGCTGCTAGGTCCTCTGAAGTCTTCTGTCGACCTAGCCCTGTCCGCTCCAGGGACTAGGCTGGTGCAGCTGTAGCGCTCGGGGCAGGAGGGGAACTCTTCACACCCCTGAGAGCTGTAGCTCACCCTAACATTTAAGTGTAGCCCAGCAGGCCTCAGGGTCTCTTTGCAGGAGATGGGCTCTCTCCCAGCCAGGACACCACTGCCCGAGTGCAGGGCCGGCGCAACCCATTAGGCGACCTAGGCGGTCGCCTAGGGTGCTACAATTTGGGGGGCGGCGACCGCAGCCGTATTTCAGCGGTGGGACCTTCCGCCGCCTAGGGCGGCAGAAAAGCTGGCGGCTCTCCTGCCCGAGTGGGTTGCTAGGTGGGGGGCTCCAGTTGCTGCAGGAGGGGAGCTGCTGGGCAGCAGAGGGGTTTCCAAGCAAGGGGCACTGGGCTGGTCTTGGGTTGCTGGATTGGGGCTCTCTGGGCTGGGCAGGGCAGGAACTCAGGCAGGGTGATTGGGAAGGTCCACTCTGGCCAGACCATGAGTCACTCCGCGCAGAGGGAGTCTGAGGCAGGCAGCCAGGTCCACGGTGACACTGGACCCAGCTGCCATAGGCCAGGGGCTCTGCTGATCTCCCTCCCTGCAGGAGGCCAGCACACTAACCAGGCTGGGGCGCCGCCCTTTGGCCAGGGACCCGAAGGATGGTGGGGGCCCTGCATGTGCTAAGGGCAGCTGCAAGCGGCACAGCCATGGCAGGGTGGGGTCTGCGTGGGGCTCACCTCCTGTGGGTTGGGGCTCAGACACACACACTCCAAGGGGCCCAGATGTGCCAGGACGGGAGCAACAGTCAGTCCCCTCTGGAAGGAAACCAGAGTGAGACCCCCCCACTGACACTGGCTTCCCTAGGAACCTCCCCCACTCCAGGACCCACCTTTGTCTCACAGAGATACCCCCTGCCCACAGGACCCTCCGCCACCTTCCAGCACCACCCTCCTGGAATCCTCCCTAAGAGACCCCTCGGCCTCACAACACAGTCCCAACAGAACCCACCCCTACTTGGAGAGCCCCCCATGGCCCCTCTGTCTCACAGCACTGGCCCCCACCCAGAATCTTCCCCCCCTCCTTGGAGAGCCCCCCATGGATCCTCTGCCTTGCAGTGCCACCCCCCTCCTCAGAGAGACCCCCCATGGACCCTCCACCTGACAGCACCGCCCCCCTGAATTCTCCCCTCCTCAGATGACCCCCCATAGACCCTCTGCCTCACAATGCTGCCCCCCCCAGAATCTCCCCCTCCTCAGAGAGGGCCCCCTCCGATAGCCTCTCTGCCTCACCACCCCCACATCACGGGACTCACCCTGCCTCAGAGAGATCCCCCCCATGGCCTTCCATCTCAGCATCTCCCCCTTCATCTCACAGTAGCCTCCCTCCTTTGAGACACCCCTATGGCCCTCTACCTCACAGCGCCCCACCCCGGGACACACCCCACCTCAGAGACACTGCCAATGGTACATCCCCACCTTACAGTGCACCTCCCCCATAGGACCTTTCCCTGTTGTGCAGTACACCCCCTCCCCAAAAGAGCGCTCCTGCCTCATAGCACCTCCCCTCACATTACCACACCCAGTGGACCTCAGCCTCAAGGGGACCCCAACTCACATGGCTGCCCCCCATGGGACCCTGCTCCAGAGCAACACCCCACCCTTCATGCTGCTCCTCCCACATGATCCCACCCCAGAGAAACCCGCCCTGCCCCAAAGTGATCCCCCCTCCTCTCACAGGACCCTGCCCCAGAGAGACACCTCCCCCCTTCCTTCACACTGCCCTGCCCCAGTGATTCCCTAACACTGCTAGGGGAGCGGAGTGGTGTTACCCCGGTGGGTAGGGGTTTCATGACCCCCCAGACGCTCTCAGCCTCCAAGTGCAGGCCCAGCTCTTCCTGCGTCTCCCTCAGCGCTGTGGCGATCACATCCTGGTCGGAGCTGTCGCGCTTGCCGCCCGGGAAACTGCAACAAGAAAACCAGAGTCTCCTTAGAGGGCAGGCAGGGTCCATTGCCCCAGGCGCTGTGGCAGACAGGAGGGGCATCTTCCACCCTGGCACCAGACGCTCAGGGACTGGCGAAAGGGGCACAGACTTATCACAGGACTGCAGAGAAGAGCTTCCGTTAACTATTGAAACAACGGGGGGGTGGGGGGGTGGAGGGGCACCGGCAGAGCTGTGCGTGAGGAGAGCCCAGGGCTGGGATGGTAGGGGCTGCGGGTCGGGAGTGAGGGGCACTGGCAGGGCTGTGCGTAAGGAGAGCCCAGGGCTGGGATGGCAGGGGACTGTGAGGCGGGATTGAGTGGCACCGGTAGGGCTGGGGAGCCCTGGGCTGAGATAATGGGGCTGTGGGTCAGGATTGAGGGGCATCCGCAGAACTGCGTGGGGGTAGCTCTGGGCTGAGATAATAGGGGGATGTAGGTGGGATTCAGGGGCACTGGTAGGGTTGTAGAGGGGGGTGGAAGGGAGCCCAAGGCTGGGATTGAGGGGCACCAGCAGAGCTGTGGAGGGGTGGGGGTAGCCCAGGGCTGGCATAGCAGGGGCTGTGGGTCGGGATTGAGGGGCACCGGCAGAGCTGTGTGTGTGGAGAGCCCAGGGCTAGGATAGCAGGGGCTGTGGGTTGGGATTGAGGGGTACCAGCAGAGTTTTGGGGGGAGCCCAGGGCTGGGATAGCAGGGGCTGTGGGTCAGGATTGAGGGGCACCGGAGCTCTGGCAGGAGCCCAGGGCTGGGATAGCAGGGGGTGCAGGCTGGAATTGAGGGGCACTGGCAGAGCTGTGGGAGGGGTGGGGATAGCCCAGGGCTGGGATAGCAGCGGCTGTGGGTTGGGTCTGAGGGGCACAAGCAGAGCCGTGGGAGGAGGGTAGCCCAAGGCTGGGATAGCAGGGGCTGTGGGTTGAGATTGAGGGGCACCGGCAGAGCTCTAGGGGGAGCCCAGGGCTGGGATAGTAGCGGCTGTGGGTCAGGATTGAGGGGCACTGGCAGAGATCTAGGGGGAGCCCTGGGCTGGGATGGCAGGGGGTTCAGGCTGGAATTGAGGGGCACCGGCAGCGGTGCGTGCAGTGGAGGTAGGGCTTGGGGAGCAGGGCTGCAGGGCACTCAGTGAGTCGAGGGCCGGGGTACCTGACATCTCCCTTGTGATGGCCCGTCAGCGTGCTGGAGCGCAGCGTGTACAGCAGCGCAGGGTACCCGCCCACAGAACACAGTGTCACCAGCACAGCCGCTGCCACTGCCTCCTGCCGGTAGCGTCTGGTGGAGGCCTCCAGTAGCCCTCGGCACCGCTGCTCGTTCTCCTGGGACAGGTACCCCCGGGCAGAGCCACCTGCCCTCGTGGCACCGGGTGTGGGGCGGGCGCCCAGGCGGAGATGGTGCAGGGCAGGGAACATCACACCCTGCAGAGAGAGCGAGAGGACAGCGCAACTGAGGCCAGCTGCCCTTCACCGAGCCACGGCCACGTCAGCTTGCAGGGCAGAGCTCACTGGGTGGAGCAAGGGGGCTGAAGGCCAGAAGCTCCATCTCAGAGGCAGTGAGGCCAGGTGGCCTGCCCTGAAGGAAGAGCGGGACCCCTTGGAGGTCTGGTGCACTGAAGGGTTCCAAGCACTGTTTAAAAACTGGGGCCTAGCACCGATCCTGTGGATCTGTGGCAGATGAATTCAAGTACTGGGGAGACTAGAAGGGGTAGGTGGCTGGACAGTGGGTTCCAACACTCACAGGGGGGTGCCAGATAGCAGGGCTGTGCTCTGAGTGTGGACTGTGTTCAGGCTCCGGGTGTTTGAAATACGCCAGGGATCCCGAGCACAAAGGCTTGGATTCCCCTTACAGCAGCCCTAGCAGAACCCATCCACCACCATGCCCATTCACCCATCCCCTCCACCACCATGCACCTCCACCCACATCCCCGACCCCCACGACGCTTCCACTCACCCACTGCCATGCCACCCCCCATTGCTACACCCATCCCACCACCCCTACAAACACCCACCCCTCCTATCCCTCCACCCGTTCATCCCCATGCACTCTCACCCATCTCTCCACCCTCTCCCTCCATCACTATGTACACTCACCCATCCCTTCCTCCACCCCCATGCACATCAGGGATAACATGGTATTTATCAGAGGTGTTTTTTTTACCAGGTAAAATCATGGTTTTTACCTCTCTGGGAAAAACTATTTAGTCCCAATTTAAGGCATTTTAAACACTGTTTCAGTAATGCACACCACTTTATACCTGGTTTTAGTTACATATTCAAATTGTGGTTCCATAAGGCAGTAGGTTCAGTGATTAATTTAGGGTTGTACAAATAAAAAGTAAAACTGCACTGGGCATAATACGAATATATGTAATTAGGAACGTCGGAATGCCTGTGTCCAATTTGGTTTGGTATTTTCCTCATGGAAATCATACAGGTCATGACTCATTTCGGTTTTCAATATTATACAAATAATCAAAACCACTTGATGAGATGAAAGCGACAGTAATGCAGAGGTGAAGGCTTGACGCATTACGCAATCAGAAGCATGCAGAGTTGCAGGCTACCAGTCTGGGTCCATTTGGCCATGCAGCATTCTGCAGCAGAAGACCAACTTTGATGCAGCGGATAGACCGAGCCTACGAATGGATGTATCCAAAGTTTAAAATTCATTCTATGCTTACTGCACTTGCTGGGCACTGATGCAATTGCACCACCCGTTCTATGAAGTTATATGGACTATCAGCAGCCTTCAGATTTTTCCATCCTTTTTCTTCATAGTGGATGAAAACATAGATTTTTGAATCCAGAGATTCTTCTGCTTTAAATACAAGTAAATATGGCACAATGTTTGGATTTTTGCCAAGCACCCACTGCCTTGCAATATATTCTTGTTCAGCTGACAATTTCTTTCCTGCATATTTTGGATGAAGGAGGCTGATCAACATGTGTACAGGAGTAATTGACTCATGACCTCTCTTTTGTACTTTTGCTTTATGTGGTGCAAGGTTTTCATTTATCTGCAGATCCAACCATACTTCGCCTGTAACAGCAACTGTTGATGTGTGTCCCTTTGGAGTGAGTCAAGTGCCACAGCAACTGGTTTCAACTGAGTGATCAAGTTCTTTGCTTCTTGGTAAATTCCTTGAGAATTAAAAATACTGATTACTCCATCTTCAAATTCTGCCTCATGATTTCTCACAATCTTAGAATCACAGAATATCAGGGTTGGAAGGGACCTCAGGAGGTCATCTAGTCCAACCCCCTGCTCAAAGCAGGACCAATCCCCAACTAAATCATCCTGAGATAATATGGCCGATTTTTAACATACGTTTCCAGGCATGTTATCTGATTGTTCCATCGTGTCACTGGGGATTTGGCATTCTTTTAACCAAGCTCCAGGCTGGGCGCGATTGCCAAAATACTTTTGTCAATCTACAACGTTTCATCAAAGCACTTGGTGTACGTTCTTGTCCAAGTAGATTGAGTCAATATGATGCACATCCATACATAACCCAAGTGCCGTCATCTTCTTCCAAATCACTCATCAGACTTTGCATCTTTTTCTTGTTTTCTGTCATGTAGCTCTTCACAATGCAACCGTACGGTTCATTTGCTAATGCCTTGGCTTCTCTTGCCAGTGTAGCATAGTACTGTCCAGTCTTCTCCTTCCATCCAGTATCAACCACTGATGCATGAACCACAGTCTTCCCTATTTGCACACAGTTAGCAATCACTGGTTGTGCACATTACGCCAGCCATAACGTAACTGCTTTTCCATGTAATTCGTTGCATGCTTCCACCCCTCAAGCCATCAGTGACTGCATTTCACCGTTCACCGGCTTTTGACCGGGTCTTGGTAGCCTGGCCATAGGCAGCCAATCATTGCTTGAAAAGTTGGATGCTGAATAACAGAAAAGGGAATATTACAGCTATAAACAAAATTAGCAATTTTCCAGTCTCTCTTTTGTTTCAGTTCTAGAGTTGTTTTTGTTACAAAACCATTTATGATTGAAAAAAACATAATACTTCCTGCTCCTTGTCTTTGGCTGACCTGGATCCAGCTTCCTTCTGACGTACTTGGCAATGCAGCAATATCAGTACCTTCATCCTCCGAGTCTGAGTCTGACACGCACAGATGTTTAGCCAAAGTCAGTCCGTTCTGGGCGTCTCCTCCTTCTTTTCACTGCAGTCAGCCAAAAGGTTCCCACCTGAGATCTCGGTTGGCTCACTCGCTTGTTCTTTGCAATTTCTGCAGCTCTGTCGCAATTCGCCACCTTCGCAAACTTTCTCACAACAGCCATGAATTGGGCCGAGTGGTTTCTCCACCTTTTGCTCATGCTGAACTATTTGGACTTGGAGTCACCGTGTGCACCAAGTCCAGGTGCAGCGGCCGCGCTCCAGCCACCCCGGCCAAGGGACAGAGGCCCGGGCTGGGCAGCTCCCCGCCAACAGGCTTCTGCAGCTGGGAGTCCCGTGATGGCTTTGCAGAAGGCACACAGGGAATTCCCCACACCCAGCAGGGTAGGGGCAGGCCCAGGCGCCGACCTTTCCCTTTCTGTTGGAGGGAGCCAAGGCAACAGTGTATACAGCCCATGCACCCCC